TCTTAAGCAGAAAGAATGTGTACATATTGTGTGTATACATACATATATGCACATATATATTTTTATGTAAGTATACATGTATAACAATATGCATATTATTATCATTGCTAGTACTTTTTGTATTGTTAGATTCTTAATTATAGAGTTGGAAGGATTTATGAGAGATCTCCTGATTCCTTCTCTCGCACTTTTAAGCCATCACTGACAGTAGAAAATGTGTCTTAGCACTTCACCATGCTTACTCTGTGCTATGCTGCACATGTGCTGCACTCTGTATAACAATCGCCTTCCATGTACAATGGAGTTATGTCTAGATAAACCCATAGTATGTTGAAAATACCTTAAGTTGAGAATGCCTTTCATATACCCAACCTCTAAATATAGAAAGGTAGTGACATAATTCAGTGTCTAGTTCTGAACCCTTGGGTCCTGGGACTGACCAAGACAGCAGCTGGCCCTGCTGGCCCTGTATCACAAGAGACTGTCATAGATCACACACATCACCAGCACTAGGTGAAATTCAAGCATCCTGGCACTGTTTCTAATGCAAGCATATTGCTTTTGTACCATTGTAGAGTCGACAAATGAGAAGTCAGGGATGAACTGTGTGTTGACTCGTACCACATAAGGAAACTGAGGAACAAAGTAGCTCAGCAACTTGCTGTACTGGAAATGGATGTTCCAACCTAGGTACCAAGTCTGTGCTTTCAGCTTTTATATTATTTTATTTACCTTGACCTTGCCTATTGTTTTGTTTTCTTTTGTTTTGGTTGGTTGTAGGGCTTGAACTCTGGGCCGGGGTGCTATCCCTGAGTTCTTTTGCTCCAGGCTAGTATTCTACCACTTGAGCCACAACACCACCTCCAGTTTTCTGGTGGTTCCTTGGAGATGAAGAGTCTCAAGGTCTTTCCTGTCCAGGCTGGCATTGAGCCACGATCCTCAGATCTCAGCCTTCTGAGTAATTAGGATTACAGGCGTGAGCCTGGCACTTTCTCTGTTTTAATTTCCAGTGTTGATGTTCACACCCTCTCCCTAATGTGGATTCCTCAGTTTAGAGTTTACTATGGTTCTCTTATTGGTTTGTTTTCCTGAGCCTGATGAAGAACTTCATCAGAAGTACTTTACCCCCTCCCCCCATGCCCACCCCTCCCACCCTCCTCCCTCCATATGGCTCCCTGCTTTCACCTCCCCGCATGCTTAGCACTGCAAGCTGTTTCTGAATTCTTTCATTATATCACCCCAGGAGTAGAATTGTAACAGTGGCTCAGGCAGTTCTGAGTAAGAGAGAAATAATAATAGTTACCTCTTGATTTATGAATATGTCCTTTATGCCTGTTTATGACTTCTTTAAAATACTGTATTTGCACAAAAAAAGACAAGAAAATACCCTTATCTGGCTGTATAGCTTCTAATAAGTGATGCTATTCTGTGCATTTCTGTGTGTCACAGGTTACCCAGGATCTTTGAATACTGACTGTACTGTGCTAATATTCTTGCAGATGTGTGGACGTTGCATAGGCTTTATTTAGGTTATTTGTGAAAGTTTTATCTTAAGATCTTCTGGTGCTCCAGACACTGCTGTTCATCTGTTGAATGTGCAAACTCCCACTGCGGGTAAAATTTTCAGACAATTGTCTGATTCAAACCAACTATAGGCACTTCTTTTTTTTTTTTTCTTTTGCCGGTGCTAGGCCTTGAACTCAGGGCCTGGACACTCTCTCTGAGTTTTTTGTGCTCAAGGCTAGTGCTCTACCACTTGAGCCACAGCTTCACTTCTGGCTTTTTCTGAGTAAGTTATTGGAGATAGGAGTCTCACGACATTTCCTACCTGGGCTGGCTTTAAACTATGATCCTGACCTTAGCCTTCTCAGTAGCTAGGATTACAGGCAGAGCCACCAGCACCCAGCTGACACATTGTCTTCTTGACCAATCCAGGGGCAGAGAATGGAATGGAAACCCTCACCCCTTCCCACGCCATGCCATAAGCCTCATACTTCCCCAAGAAGAAATCTTCCAGTGCTCGATCTGCTTCCTCGGCAAAAGCGATCTCTGGCTGGCGCAAGCTCCTCCTTACCTCTAGCCGTTGTGTCTGCAACAGTGTGGTTACAGTGGCTGCTGCTGGATTTCATTAGTAAAAGAATCTCATAGGATTCTAGCCTGCAGATTCAGTTGTCCTATTTATCCAATACTTTCCCTTATAATGTTTAATACTTAGAGGTGAGGGGTAGTAAACAACCCTTCATGTATCCCTTGTGGACTATGCTGCTAGTCTGTCATTCTGTCATCATCATCATCATCATCATTATCTTCACCTTCACCATCCTCTTCACCTGCAGAGTTGATCCCCTGGGCTTGCCTCCCCGTCCCCCCCCCCCCCCCGTCCTGTTCTGACCTCCATTCAGGATCCCCAGAGGGAAAGGGCCTAGTATTTCCAGTGCAGTCTTGTGTCAGCCAGGGCACGACCACTGTGTTTGTCTGTTCCTCACTTGTAAAGCCACTGGCCTGCTTGTTGAAGTCCACTCTGCAGAATGTCCCTTTAGTCCACTAGGAGTCCTCTTCCACTGCTGTGCTTATACTTCTGAAGCTCTCTGCCCAGTTCATAAGGGGTGGATGGGGGTGGGGGGGAGGGTTCTTCCCAGCGCAGGACAGAACTCTAACTGATCTCTGTGTGTGCCGTTCTCAGTGCAAATGCATTTCGGGGTGTAGCCGTGTGAATTCTACAGTGCTGATTATTTTCTGGTCATTCAGGATGAGGGCTAGGAATACAAACTCCAAAAGTGCTCGCAGGCTTTCAGAAACTCACCAAGGGGCTTAGTTTCCATCCACATCAATGGCTGAAAAAATCTAATTTACCAACAAGGGACTTATTACTGAGCTTTTTCAGCACACAACTACTTTTTGTCCGGTTTCACACCTCTCTCCAGGTGGAGTAATAATCCATACATGTGAACTTGTAGTAAATTCCCTTAGAATAATAGGATCGTCTTATAAACAGTGCGAGTTCCTTGGTAGTGGGGTGGGGTAATGGCCCTGCCTGGCTGAGGATGAGGGGAAGGAGTTGGCTGGTGTGGGCATGCCACAAGGGGTGTACCCCAGGGACTGTGGGTAGAGATGTGAGCAGGAGTGTACAGACAGAGGTGATGGGGAAGCCTGGGTAGATGCAGTGTAGAGCACAGAGGGCCCAGGAGAAGACAGTGTGGGAAGGGAAGCAGCAGGAACTGGCAGCCGGCAGCTGTGGCCACTGGGAGAGGACAGAAGGAGAGGCAGAGAATCCCTTCAGCAGCAGGGGTGGGGGGGAGGGGGGAGGGGGACTGCAGGAGGTAAGTTGCTGGGAACAACTTTGGAGTGTGTGTGTGGCAGGGGGACAGGGTGCTGTGTATTATACGCAGCCAGCTAGCGACTGGCGAGGAAGTTGTATGTAGCCATGGGAAGCCTGGGCCTGTGGAAGGAATGGACCGACGTTCTGGGTTTGTCTTAGCTCGCCAGGGAATGAGATCATGGTTGACCTAATGCTGAGCCAACAGATTGAAAGGGAACATCCAACATTTAATTTAGCCCTTTCTCCCTGGCTCTTGCTGCCTGCTCAAGCTAAGCTTCTGTTTGGGGTGAGGGAAATGGGGAGGAGGGGTAGGAAGGAGGGGGGGTGTCTGAGACAAGACTCCACTGCTTGTCTGACTTCTCTGACTTCAAAACTTTCAGTAGCTTAGCCGCATAAATTCAGTGTCAGTTCAGCAGTGACCATGTCCCATCATGTCCAATGTAATAAAACATGGATTCATACACAGGCACAACTTCTCCCTCTTACACCTTTAAAAAAAAAATTTGTGCCAATTGTGGGGCTTGAACTCAGGGCCTGGGCACTGTCCTTGAGCTTTTGTGCACAAAGCTAGTGTTCTACCCTTTGAGCCATAGCTCCTCTTTTGGCTTTATGGTGATTAATTAGAGATAAGAGTCTCACAGACTTTCCTATCAGGGCTGGCTTTGAATCATGATCCTCTAGTCTCAGCCTCCTGAATAGCTAGGAGCTAGGCACAAGCCACCGGCGCCTGGCAACACCTTCTGTTTGCTTCAGATCTGTCCTCGACAAGAGCAGCACAAAGCCTTTTCACATTTGCTCTTCCTCCTCTGTTCACCATGTACCTTCTTCAGAGATGGCAGCTGGACAGGGAGAGGACAGCAGGCAAGAATCAAGAATTGACATCCATGCTTTGGTTCCAAACTTCTGATCATGGTGGTGGTGGACATTTTTATTGCTTCTTTGCAGAGACGCTCCACCCTCCTTCCAGTTTCTTTGCTTCCCCCTTATCTGGACAGAAAAGACACTGCCTCTGTCTTATCGGCATAAGGCTTCCCTACCAGTTGGTCCAGGCAGCCTTAATGGAGATGCACACCATCTTAAGTAGTGGAAATACTTTTCTAGCGCCGTAAGTTAGGTGAGAACCGGAAGTCGAACTGCGGGAGGAAGGATCTGGTTAGCAGATGGTGGTGGGAGACTTTGGAGTCGGCATCTGCGTTGCTCAAGAAGAAACTCTAGCTGTCAGAGAGACACCTGCATTTAAGAGCCAGTAGGAGGAAGTTGCTGGGAAGGAGACATGTGTTTGTCTAGGACTCACTTGGAATTAAGCTTATTAATATGATTATTCTCCCAGAAATGGAAACCTTGAATATATGTACTTTTTCTGTTATGGGGGTTTGAACTCAAGGCCTCATACTTTTTTGCTTGACTTGATGCTTTGTTTTCTTGGATGGTGTTCTACCACTTGAGCCATGCCTGCCAACATGCCTTTTGCTGGTTAATTGGAGATGGAATCTCATGTGTTTACCCCCCCCTCCCCAGGCTGACTTTGAACCATGATCTTAGTTCTAAGTAGCCAGGATTACAGGCACGAGCCACCAGCAGGCTATTGTATAAGAGCCCTAAACTCCCTTCTTCCTATTTTGAAAATGGGTATTAATTGTACTTTAGAGTTTTTAATTCTTTGACTCTTTTTTCCCCCCAGTTGTATATGAACACAGATCAAGATTAGAAAAGTCCTTGCAAAAGGAAAGACTTGAGCATAAGAAAGCAAAGGAAGGTGAGTAAAATAATGTCACGTGTTCTGTGGTTTTCTCGTACACTTTTTTGAAATATTATGACTCATTTATAACATTTTTTTGGTAAGATATTTCTCTAATCTACCTGAAGCTGATATTACAGGTAAACAGAGAACAAGATTTCAAGGACTACATTAGGAACTTTGCAGTAATAATTTCTGAATGCAGATTGGCTTTGAAGTCTACTCTGTTTGTGCTGGCTTGATGGAGTTATCCTATACTGGCTGTGCATATTATTTTAGAAATGATTTTTGGCTCTCCATCTGATTATTACATAGGGCCTTCACTGATTCCTGGACTTAGCTGCACAGGTGGAGTGCACAGTTCAATACATTGTTTATAATATGGTGCTTTTTATACCTACACCAGTGCACATTTATAACACGTTAAGGAGTTGGCCACACTCTGTCTTTTGAGTTAGAAACTGTTTGTAATCTCCTGAAAGCTTTCCTTTGTTACAGCTATTCAGCATGGGTATTAGAGTCATACTATTGTTGGGTACTAGACTTTTCCTGTAAAGCATAGGGCCTTTCTCCAGATCATGATTTAAAAATTATCTGCATTCTTATTTCTACTTATTCACATGCTTTGACGTTTCAGCTAGGGCTTCCGTCTGAATCCTTCCATGGAGGAAGGGAAGGGTAAGGCGAGCTGGGAGGAGGGCAGTGCTGTAGAGGATGCTAGTTAGATGGGGCCCAGTTGAAGGTAATCCTTCAAAGGATTTGTGGATTGGATTTCCCTTGTCTCAAATGCAGTGATTTTATAGTGCCATCTAGTGGATAATAAAGTTTTCAGAGCAGTGAAGATGGCTCTGATGGCTTTCTTTCTTTATGAAGGTCCAGAAGGGTTTTAGTGTGCCATCTAGTGGGTTGCCAGCCATAGAGCACATTTGCCTTTAGAAGTACTTCTGTTTTTCTTCTTTAATTCTGCAGAGAGGTAATCCTACAGATATTCTAAGTCCACTTTTAATCAGTGGGTGCTAACATGAATTTTGTTGAGAGAGTATTTAAAGCTATAAGGTAGGAAGATTGTATCATGTGTTTGCCCCCCAGTGCTTTGTAAACAGGGAGATAAAGCATTGACATAAAGTAGATTAGCCACCAAATGGATGGATTTAAACCTAAAACAGTGTTGCAAGTCTGAATTAAGCTAACCCATGTTCTTCTAGGTATTTAAACATTCCAAGACGTGTTAATTTGCATTCTGTTTTCTTAATTTTGTCTCTCCTAGATTTTCTAGTATATAAGTTAGAAGCACAAGAAACACTGAATAAAGGAAGGGTAAGTGTTTATGTTGTTGTCATTATCTTTTCTCCTCTTAATTTGTTTTCATCAAATTTGAAGAGAAACAAAAATACTTGCAACTTCTTTTACTCTGTTGGTCTGTAGGGCTGTAGGTAGTAGAATGTATGGTGGCATGTATGGTCCATTGCTAATAAACATTCTATGAGGAGGATGCCCCCAGAATAACTTTTGTTCTTTCAAAACCTAACTTTATTGATGACAGCATTACATTGGGAATAGCTGCAGTGATTAACAGTAAAGTGAAAAGTGTTTTTATTCATATGTTTGTCTGTCGTCTCCCCTTTCTGTAGCATCTAATACTATGTTTGTCTCTTCAGTGGTTATAGCTAACACAAACCTTAGGCATTTACAGACACTTGGAGTGAGTTAAGGAAGAAAGGAATGATGTTGATAGAGACAAACATTTTTAAAGAAAGAAACATTGTGAAGGAAAGAAAGGAAGGAAGGAAGGAAGAAAGGAAGGAAGGGAGGGAGGGAGGGAGGGAGGAAAGAAGGAAGGAAGGAAAAGAAGGAAGGAAAGAAGGAAGGAAGGAAGAAAATACACAAGCATTAGCTGAATGAAACTTTAATGGTTGAGGACATTAAAGCTAAGCAATGTCAATTATCTGAGTTACTAGGGGGTCTTCCTTGCTTTCAAAACCCCAACTAAAACTGTATGTACTATATTATATACCTATTTTAATGTAATTTCTTTATAAAGTAAAGTATAAATGAATAAAATAAATTGATAAACCAAAAAAAAAACCCATAGTTTATTGTGGAAGTTGTAAAAGAAAAAACAAGGCCAGGCGCCACTGGCTCGTGCCTGTAATCCTAGCTACTCAGGAGGCTGATATTGGAGGATCATGGTTCAAAGCCAGACCAGGCAGGAAAGTCCGTGAGACTCTGATCTCCAATAAACCACTCCAAACAGAGGTGGTGCTGTGGCTCAAGTGGTAGAGCACTAGCCTTGAGCTGAAGAGCTGAGGAACAGTGCCCAGGCCCAGATTTCAAGCCCCACAACCAACAAACAAAGAAAAAAAAAAGAAAACGAATAGAAAGAAAGAAGGAAAGAAAAACAAAACAAAAAACAAAGCCAGACCCATGAGCTTATACTTATGTTATTGATGAAAAAAGCAGCAGAGTTGTCTGGGTAAAGATAAGAGAGCAAAGTAAGGGAGCAGGACCATTGCACGTCTCTTCTATGCGCTCATGGGCCCAGGACTGGGGCCCAGCTGTGGCTCAGGTGCTGCGCAGGCTCTCCAAGGAGCTCAGCCAGTGGCACAGACTGATACTTACTGAAGCCCTTTTTCATGGCAAATCCGTTATCCTTTCTAAATGCAATCTGCAAAGCAGTCTCATTGGGCTAACATCATGTCTGTCGGGTGTCTTACCCATTAGGGTTGAAGGAGAGAGGGTGCCTTGTCTCTTCCCTCCCTTAAGTCATGCTGTGCTTGTGAGGTCCGGTCATAACAGACGTCCTTCTATCCCTCATCTTGAGTACATGGCTATGTCTCAGATGTTGCTCGTTGGGTCTGCACCTCCGTTAGGAGAAGCAGAACAAAATTATTTGTAAGAGCCATGTCATTTTATCATTTGAGGATACCATGTCCTGTGTTTTTATTGCTAAAACTTAGCCAAGATGTGAGAATTGGAAAGCTTCATTTCTTCAGGTAACTTAAAGAGATGGCCATGGTGTCATCCAGTTTCAAGCATAGAATTCATTATAGCTTACACAGTGTGAGAAATGAAAATCTTCTATTAACTACTTGAATCTGTAAAGGAACCAGTAAAGGAACCAGATGAGTTATCTTTTGTTGACTGCTTTTTTTTTAATTTACAGCAAGATTCCAATAGCAGATACAGTGCACTGAATGTCCAACATCAGATGTTGAAAGTAAGTAATTTAAAATTATTCTCTGTGAGTAAAAGAAAGGATTAGGTGATACGAGAACTGAACAATGCCCTTTAAAATAATTAAATTATGCTTTTAGAAGGTTAATTTATGTCATGATAGACAAATTAAAGTCATTAAAAATAATACATAGTTATGGTTGTAAACATATTAACTACCTGTTTACTGCAGACATATTTAATATATGATTTTTTGTTTGCTTAATTTCTGGCAGTGGTTTTCTGCAGGCGTTTTCTGTTTTGCTTCAACAGACTGAAGACTGTAAAACTCTTAAAGTGTCTCCTTTATGTTTTTCGTATTTAGTGAGTGTACATTTAACCACCGTAGGATTATTTAAAGAGTTTAGTTCCTTGGTCCTTTGGCAAAACTTAAAGATAGTGTTTCAGGAAGACAGGTGAAAGAAGAAAGAGAGGAAGGAAGACAGAGAGGAATGAGAGGGAGGAAGAGAGGGAACGAGGCAGAGATCCCCTCTGTCAAGCTAGGAAGATGAGTAACTTATCACTTTACACAGCATGAATTTGTAAAATACTCTGTATTGGTTTAAATTCCTTTATACTTTAAAAATCCTCAAGGAGGAAAAATGCATCTGTACCAACCGTGTGCAAACTTTGCTTTGTTACCATTGTCCCCTCCATCCTACAATGAAGTTACATGATACCAGGTGTCATAAGCAAACCTGGAAATGATGTAAAGGATAGGGGAAGATGTGCATAGGTCATACACACTGCTTCCACCGTTCAAGGGCATGGCCATCTTCAGACTTAGGCACTGAGATGTGTCCTGGGAGCCATTCTGTCTGAGAGTCACGAGTGGAAGAGAACTCTTCCATGTCTGTGGTTGGCAATTAGGCCACTCATGTTCCCACCTCTCCCTGGGGCTTTCTCCCGCTTCATCTCATGCTCACTTCTAGTTGTTCCTCCTGAGGTTAAAAAGTAAGGGGAACGTTATTTTGGGTCACACTCCCAACTGTTCCTATAAATGGACAAGCACGCATGGCCCCTCAGAAAAACGAAGCCCATTGCTTCATTGCTCCCTCCCTTCCAGCAAGAGAAAGGCCACCCTACACAGCACCAACGAGGTAGGATTCAGAGAGCCCAGAGCAGGCCCTGCTCAAGCTTTCCTCTTGCAGAGTCAGCACGAGGAGCTGAAGAAGCAGCATAGTGACCTGGAGGAGGAACACCGGAGGCAAGGGGAGGACTTCAGCAGGACTTTCAATGACCACAAACAGAAATACCTGCAGCTACAGCAAGAAAAGGAACAAGAGCTTTCTAAGTTCAAAGGTATCTGGAAATCACATTAGCCCATTTCCATGTAAATACGTGACCCCATGGATGCTTCTGTAAAACCGTACCCTTTTTGTTTTCCTGTGTTCCTCTCAAGATTGGTTTGCGTTTGGTCTGTGATCCTCTCAGGACCTGCTTGCTTCTTGGTCCTACTTCATATTTATCTGTTTAGTTTGCTGAGGAGAGCAGAGCAGAGGACATACTTCATCTGATTCTATCTCAATGAAACCTAGTCCAGGCTGGGGAGGACAGCTCAATTGTGAGACACGTAGCTCTTTTTTTTTTCTAGTCCTGGAGCTTGAACTCAGGGCCTGGGCACTGTCCTTGAGCCTGTCTGTGCTCAAGGCTAGTGCTCTACCACTTGAGCCACAGTACCACTTCTGGACTTTTCTGTTTATGTGGTACTGAGGAATTGAACCCAGGGCTTCATGCATGCTAGGCAAGCACTCTACCGCTAAGCCACCTTCCCAGTCCCTACTTAGCATTTCTTAATTCTTCATTTACCAAATGCTCTCAGGATTCTTCTGTTCCTTCCACGATCCCCAAATGGCTTGACACATTTCTAAAATCCCCCTAAGGGGCAGAGGGACTTCCTGTTGATGACTCATAGATACAATGTAAGTTCCAGGCCTCCTATTTATAGACTGCTGTGAATATCGGCTTCTTCAATTACTAGTTAGGTGACCGTGGGGAAGTTGTACTACTGCCACAGATGTCCTTGTCCTTGTCTGTAAAACTGGGACAATCATAAAACATACCCGCTTCATAGGGCTGGTGGGAGGGCCTTGTAATTCAGGTCTAGCTACCAGAATAGTTCCTGGTTGGTTAATATCAACATCAGAACCACACATTTCCTAGTAAAGTAGAACAGAATTCTTCTGCCTCGGGTACATCTGAATTCTGGAAAAAGAAACCAGAGAATCCCACAAGAATCAAAAGCATGTGATGAGTTGGCTGAAGGTGTGAGAATTGGTTTTAAAAGACACATGGTGCATGCAAAAAGCAAAACAAAGCAACACGATGAAGTGCAAATACAGTCTGTGGACCAGTGACTCTGCCTGCTAGTAGTGTGTGAGTAGTGAATGCCGGGCGATGGGCTGGGAAGGGCTGTCTGTACTATTTGTGTGCAATGTTTTATCTATTCATAGTTCAAAACAAGGTTTCATAAGAAGGCATACAGGAGTTAAGCAGTCTGCGGGGGCAGTTCTGTAAAGGGTAATGTTCTCAGTAGAGTTGGAGCAGGTACCAGCTAATGAGCCCATGAGAGATAGGCATGGAGGGTCGTGGACTGGTGCTGATGGGCAGGTGAGAGGTGGCTGGAAGAAACACTAAACACTGGAGGTCCTCCCAAAGGTGATGTAGAGAGAGGACAAGGACCCTGGAGGCCTGGGAAGCATGAACTCATGGCTGTACTATTTAACATTCGAGTGCATTCAGTAAATGAACACACATAAGCCAGGTGCTGCTGGCTCACTCCTGTGGTCCTAGTTACTCAGGAAGCTGAGATCTGAGGATCACATTTCAAAGTCAGCTTGGGCAAGAAAATCTGTGTGACTCTTATCTCCAATTAACTACTAAAATGATAAAGCTGCAGGAGGAACTGTGGCTCAAGTGGGAGAGTGTCAGCCTTGAGTACAAAAGCTCAGGGATAGCATCCAGGCCCCGAGTTGAAGCTGCACAACCAGTAACAACAACAACAACAAAAGAAACCAAAGTTAATTCATTCATTACATAGTAAGTAGATTAATTAATGAGTGAAAACGAAAACTTCCTAGGTGCATACTTTAAGAACATTCTATAATTTGGAAAGTTTGACTTTAGCAATAGCACAAAGGCAGGCTTTCTTATTTCTGTTTACTCATTCTTCAGAGAACGATAGGGATCATGTCTAGTACAGATTTTAAAAACTCCAAATACACAGACAAAATCAGAACCATGGGAAACAGGAGGATATGTATATGTGAGTTCAACTACTGAGATCATTCAGCCTAACAACTTTGTCTGACCACTAGGATACCCAGGACAAAATAGAGAATGCCAGAAAAAAGAGAATGTCAGGGAGTGGGGCGGGGCGGGGGGGAGAGAGACGAGAGGAACACAGAAAGAGAGAGAGAGGGAGACAGAGACAGAGAGAGACAGAGAGAGGGCACCAGCCATGTTTGGGAAACTTTTTCAGAGATAGACTTGAAGCAACCTTGCTTATCATAAGCAGTTTCACATCAACACTTTTGTTTTGATTATGGCTCAAGCTGAGGAGAGTCAATTAAAGCATTTTGTGAATGTTTCAGGCTGGTGATAGCTAGATAACATGCATGGTCCAAGAAGTCGTTGATAGTTCTATGCTATAAAAAAAAAAGGAAATTTAGACCTACTGGAGAGATGAACTGCTAATGTGTCAATACCTTCCTACTACGTGTTAGTACCACGTGGATGATTGTATTTAATTCTCCTAACTACCTGTGAGGTAGGCTTGGTAGTTAGCCTCACTCAGAAATTAGAGGCCTGCTATAGTCAGACAACTAGCCTGAAAAATTCAGCCAAAGCACAGGAGCCTCTGTTACTGAGATTGCAAGCTGAAATTCCTTTAAAAGCATGGCTATTCAGGGATGAGTATGCTGACAGGAGTCTCCAGTGCTGAGCACGCCTTGGTGCGTAGCTTCTTGGCCATAGTGTACAACCGTCATTTAGGAACCATTTGTCCAACACAGTCCAGGTTTATACCTGCTGCCTCAGCTGAATTATTAATAGCACCCTCTCTATTCTCAAAAACATCTCCCATTGGACAATGGGTTATAGAGTCACTCTGCCAACACTCAAATTCCACTGAGTGTTATCAAACAAGAATTGGGATAATGTTGCCAGAGCTTATTATAAGGCTCTGTTTCTTTATTTTTAAATGGTGGTATGTATTCAAATATGGAAAAACACTGTAGATCAACACTGCAGAGGCCATATATATAATATCTCTATACATTATGTACATATATATTATATATCATGTAAATACATCATAATAGATTACATATGTGCACACTATACATAATGTAGTATGTATGTATGTGTGTGTGTATGTACATATAGTCAAGACTCAATGTATTATGTCCAGACACAGGGAATGACAGAAGATAAGAGAGGTAAGATAAGAGAAGATGAGAAGCTGGATGTCAGAGCGTTTTGTTTAGGGTCTGTAAGTGGAGATAAGTTTATTTTTAATTTGCAAAAGCGAATTCTGTGTGAGGCAACCCTTGCCTACCCTAAGGGTTTTTTTGTTTTTTTTTTTTTTAGTAAAAGAAATACTTCATTTTCAACTCCTAAGTAAATAAAACCCCTTGATTTCCTTCTGTCATGTACAATTCATTTAAAGCGCTCGCTCTCTCGAATGTACTCGAACCCAGGTCAGGTGGCCTGGCCAGGTCCGTCTGCACCAGGGCCCAGCATGAGGGCTTTGTGGATGAAAAGTATTATTGTGTCAGAATCCAAAATAAGCTCTGAAATAAGTTGTATGGCACTTCAGATATGAAAAATAATAGAGCCAAAAGCCTGCAGCTGTCAAGCATTGATGTGCGATTGTTTTCTTCTCCGCCACAGAAACCGTGTACAATTTGAGAGAAGAGAATAGGCAACTAAGAAAAGCTCACCAAGACATTCATACGCAGCTTCAGGATGTCAAGGTAAAATGCAGCCAGGGGTTACTCTGTAGAATGCCTGGCAAAGTCATTTCGTGATGGGCCTGCTTTACAAAGGTGGATTGCAACTGTGGGCCTGGCCTGACCCAGTGTGTTCCATCCTCTCTCCCTTCCTCCAGCTGGTCTGAATACATAAAGGTTTGCGTTAATATTGACAACATCATTCTTCTCTATTGGATGGTGGTGTCATAAGATTTCTTTTACGCAACATTTACGAATAATGCTTCGTTCTTACGAGTCGCACTTCATTTTAAATGGTTCTTGGGGGGGTAGCGCTTTTCACGTTTTGGGATGCTACAGAAATTACAGCCTTCTGTGTCCAGTGATTTTTCAGCTTTACCCATGCTGCTCCAACCACACATGAACACATAAACGAGTAGCATGGGAGTGCTCAGACACCGAAGAAGAATCTGTCTCCTCAACATGTAAAATTCTTTTTTCTGTGTGTAGCAACAGCATAAGAATTTACTCTCGGAGCATGAACAACTTGTAGTGACTTTGGAAGACCACAAGAGTGCACTGGCTGCTGCACAGGTCAGAAAGGCAGCAGCCTCTGTGGGGTCTTGGAAGTCGGCTTCCTATTTCCAAATTCCTCTGTGCATGCCACGCATCCGTGACTTACTTAGGACCTGGCTTTCCTAATCCTGAGCACAATGCATGCTTTATGATTTCCCTCAAGATGATAGTAAACCAACCTCTGATTCTCTTCTGCGCTGGTCGCTAGATGCTTATGGCCCTTTCTGCCTTCACTGGTCCTGGCATGCAGTAGCTGTTACTTAGCTAAATGGCAGGAATTATAATCCCATGCGGTCCATCTTTGAGCAGCTATCTGACCTCTGTCCATTCTTCCGAGGGGTTATATAGGGCTTTATGATGCTAGCTACCTAAATAAACCATTGTCAGGATTTCTATTCTCTCTTTCCCTGGTTCTCAGCATTGCAGCCATGTGTACTCCTAATTGGTTTTGTAGTGTGGGTCAAATGACAGAAAAGCAGAAAGGTCAATGGAGAGGGAAAAACAAAGGTCATGATCTCTATTTTTTTTCCTCAAAGCCCTGGTACAAGGTACTACCTCAGGATGTATGTACTGAATGAACAAGTGAACAAATGCAGGTGTGGGAGATCTTATTAAAGCAATTCCATGCTGAGTGTTTTTCTGCTTTCTTGTAGAAGCAAAGAAACCTGAGTGTTGGCTTAGTCCCTAAGTTAAACCAGGTCCTAGCTTTTCTTCTTGATGAAGGGGTTATAAGAAAAGGCACAGGGAAACTAGTGCTCATTGGGAGGTTGTGTAATATTATTTAAAGGTATAATATACTGAGTCCTGCCCATCTCAAAAGCAGTAGTACCTTGTATTTGGGGAACGTTTTTTCATTGGGTTTCTTTCCAACGAACTGTATGTATTGTAATTTTTACATGTGTGTGAGATAAATTCACTGTAGAAGAGAGTACATCACTCTAAGCCTTCTTTATAAGATTTGGTCAAATCTGTATTACTTTCTGTGAGGATGATCTTCATAGTACAAAATACAATGAGCAGATTTGAACAGTGTGCTCTAAAAGAGGTTGTCATTTTGATACTGAGCAATGATCTGAAAAGCCCAGAGTAACCTGACCAAAATAGCTCAAATAGTCAGTACTCAACTGTATAATAACTAATAGCAGTATGGTGGAATTTAGTAGTTAAAAACCTGCTTTTCTATAAACTTTATCTTTGGGTGGGCAGCAAATGCTCCAAATTTCTTCTGCTCTTTTTCAGAAAAAATACTTGCGCCATATCAAAAGATAATCCTTCGTTTGAGCCTTACTCGTAGTCAATTTAAGTTGCTATAATAAAACATCATTTGGGGATGGCTCAAGAAACACAGAAATATAAATCTGGAGGTTGTGGTGGGGTGCTTCATGGTTGATTCTTTGAGGGTCTCTTCCTGATTTCAGACATCTGGCTTCTTTTTACCTTTTCCTATAGTGGAAAAATACAGAGAGAGCTCTGAGGGGCCCTTTATTTAAAAAAAGCGAGGGGGGGGGTACTAATTCTGTTCCTGAGGTCCCCATCTGTATGGCCTAATGATTTCCATGGCCCTCCCTCTGAGACCTTCACACTGGATATTAGGCTCTCAGTATATGTATTGAAGAGATACATTTATTCCATAGCACCATAGGAAAACTTTCCCTAAATCTCAGGGGGAGGGATGGACACTATTTTGTGCATCCATCTACCTCATGTAAGCAATTTTATGAGATTCTGCCTGGACAAATTGATTTTTAAGTACAGTTGAGAATTTTAGTTAAAGTAACCAAGGGGAGATGTATAACCTTGTCCTCTTTTATAACTAAATAACTCCACAACTAACTAAATAAGTGAACTGAGGCCAAGAGAGAAATGAAGATGGATAACCACAACCAAGCTTGAAGATCTTCCTGGCCTCAAAGTCACACTGTTTGGTGTGTTTCTAAGACTTTTCCCCCCAACATCCTGGGTGTGGGGGGCTGGACCCAGCTTTTTTTGTATCATAATTTCTGAAGTGGGGACCCCAAGCGTATGTCCTGATGGGTTTCCATCATCAGCGCATACCTCACACTGAAAACACAGTATGACTTCCTTGAACGGTGTGTGTCTAGAGGAAGAGAGAGAAAAAAGGGGAGAATTGAGTTCTATGCCTGTCCTTTTATATAGAATAAGTATTAGAAGTGTCATTAAGGCCGTAAAGACGTTTAAAAATTGAAAGTGTCATTCTCTGGGTGTCATTTCTCATTTTCCTTTGACCTCAGAGTATTTGGACAGATTTCTGTGACAAGGTCCCATATGATAAGGTTTCTCTGAGATGGTTCAAAGTTTGCAGCCACTACTTGCAGGCATTCCTGTGACACAGAGGTAGCAGGCAGACTTCTTTCCTTCTCTGAATATTAGAAAGGCAAATCAATGCCTCTTCCTTGGCGTAGAAGAGCAGTGAGCAGTGGGGTGAGGGGTGAGGAGGGGCTGTAGTAGCAGGGTAGGCTGGTTCAAGCTCCATGCATCTACTTGGCCCAGCAATTGGAGGGCAGTACCCCTGCATAGGAAGCTTGTGCTATTGTGCTACAATGTTTCTGTGTGCTAGGTGTGGATTTTTGTTAGTGTGTGTTTATGCATGTGATGTTTCTGCTTTTGGATAACACTGGTGACACACATGAGGAATTAGGTAGACACAGAAGATACTGTACACTCTTACAAACAACACATATGGGATGTGCTCAGAAATACCTGTATGAGTGTATTCTAGCCCCATGCCTGCATTGCTGACTTGTTCATTTTAAAAGAAGAAAACACAGCTGAGCACCAGGAGCTTGAGATTTGAGGACCACCTTCTGGGCAGGAAAGTCAATGAGGTTCTTATCTCCAGTTGACCACCAAAAACACTGCAAATGGAGCTGTGGCTCAAATGGTAGGGACCCAGCCATGACAGGAAAAAAAAAAACAAGCAAAAGCTGAGGCTGTGAGTCAAGCCCCAGTATCAGAAGAAGGAAGGGAGGGAGGGAGGAAGGGAGGGAGGGAGGGAGGGAGGATGGAAGGGAAGAAAGA